GTTTTACAAAAATCACTCTAACTTCTGAACCAGTGGGCCGATTTTAACGGCAGTTTCGGTATGTAAAATAGACTAATCAAGCTGTCTGTTAGGCTAAAAATCAATTTGATTGGATTAGAGGTCTCGTCGGAACGCCCATTTCTTTAGAGACATTGACTCGATCGACACACATCGACTAATGGTAAAGGATAGGCGGCAGTTCTCGCCGATAGGCCTCGCCTATAGGCGGCTCGTGCTGGTGTAAAGTTGACAGAAAAACAGCGATTTCTCAGCTAATACTTGCACAAAGTTTACCATTTTTGTATCAAAAGTAAGAGAAATCTTTGCTGATTTGTAATATGTAAACATTGTTAGAATTAAGCGTTTAGTTTTTTTGTTACGAGCAGTTTAAAAACGTTCAGTTATTTTTCGAAACCTGCAGCGTGATTTAGCCGGTTCGATGGACTCGACCATTATACATGTAGGCAAAGGCGGCCTAGGCTTGCTAAATTCTAACTAATAGTATAGAGCGCCTTGGCTAAGATTGTCTCCTTGACTTTTTTATACAGTGTTCTTTTTGATTATACAGTACCATAAAATATATATATCAGATATAGTGACTGACCAAAATAAATTTAAGACATAAAATGTTACAATATTATTTCATTTATTATTTGTGATTAGGTGCCCAACATTCCCCTCTAAGTAAAGTGGTACGGTCCAACGTGGTTGCGTGAGCTACACTGTGTGGCGGAGAGATTAAGATGGCGTGATAAGAACTCTACGCACTGAAATTAAATAGGTTAAAAAAACGAAACAAATTGTAATGAATTACTTTTCATCCTCTATTTTAGGCTAAAACTACAGTAAGCCATTGGGCTCATATGGGCAGGAGCATATCCCTAATTTGAAGTACCATGAAGCTGATGAGAGGTAATGCTCATTTGATACAGCTGGGCACTCTGAAGCAATGTGGAGGAAGTGCCTAATTTAAGAACACAAGCACATGCAGAGCCAAGGACTAAAACCTCGATTTGGAGGCTGGGAAGCCAAACCATTTCCAAAGCGCCAAACCACCACCAAGCAGAGCACACATAATCTGGTTCGGCCAAGGACTGAATATAGGATATTTAAACTGCTGACATCTCTAACGTGTCAACACTCCTGCCATCATGAAAATACCTGCAACTCGCCAATTTTCTGCTACTGCTTTACTAATTTTGTCTCACTAAATTCAGCTGGCAATGGTATACAATACAATAAGTGTTTATTAGGAAAACTCATTAAAGCATATCTATCTGACATCTCAACTTTGTACTCCTAAACTGTCATAGCAAAGCATAGCAAAATAAAATTTATGTACCTTAGGTGAAGATGAAATAGAATAGTATCGGGCCTGTAGCCGTGGTAACAATTCACATAAGTGATCCAGCGGTGGTTTACAAGATGGCAAATCTTCCAATATTGCTAGAATATTTCTATGAGATTTAACAACCCAGTCACTGTATTCTTTCTGGAAAATAAGAAAACGTAATGTACTGACAATGGGAAAAATATAGTATTCCTATACTAATAATATATAGATAATAATATATAGGATTAGAAAATAGCAACAATAATAAGAGTAACTAAAATAAGAAAAATGTTTGCCAATAATAATATAATCATCATCATGAATAATAATTTCAAACATCTTTTTGGCTGAATTTGTCGCTACCTAGGATGACATGCAGTTAAAGGCAGAACTTGCACTGCAGTGGTGGCTCCACAAATTTGTCAGTCATGGAGCTTTAAGAATTATGTGGCAAAAGATTTAATGGTTTAGAATGGCCCAAAGATTGTGCTTTTAGACTGCAATATTAATATTAGGGCTTGGCAACCACAATAACATTGCTTGGATCGGCAAATTAATATTTGTATTAGTTTGACAGCCATGTAGAGGCCAACACGTTAAACGTTACATGCTTATCCAACAGGAAAATGGGTACCACTGATCCCCACTGACGCTGTTGTATTGTTGAATATAATACATACGTAAAACATACAAACAACATTTTTTTTAATGCAAAAATATGTAGTAATAAATAAATTGTATACTTTACATGTGTATGTCTTTTACATTATTGTTTTATAAATGCTAGGTTACCAGTTGGTAAGTAAGCTGCTTGGTGCTTATTACCTTGCCTTCTGGCGTAGCGGATGACATTTTCAACAAGAATTCTTTGTCCTTCTCGTCAGAGCAATACTCAGAAATGTCTTTGAGGACATTGGTACGTGGACAGTTTGTGATGTCCAAGTAGAAAGACAGTGCGGTACGGTATGTACAAGGACAAGGGAATGGGTGCTTCTTACTTGCATCCTCTGCAATATTAAAAAAAAATGTAGACGTTATTAACAACTAAATTATGTAAAAAAAACCATTATTAAACAACAATAACAATGATGTTATATTTATAGTATATAATATATTAACAGAAAAAAGAGAAAAAAAACAATAAATAACCTAAAACTAACTACAACCGCCAAGAACATTGAAAAACGTCACCACTGCACTGTTCACAAGCAATTTAAGGGAATGCCATCCCAAATCAGCACCGATGACCAAAAAATGAAAATAGACTTTTCAACATATGAAACATAAATTGATGGGTCATATAGAATCGACTTACTATATTGCCATAGTTATGAGTAAAAGTATAGTGGATTCTCGGTACTAAAGAATATATGATACTGCCATAATTCTTATGTTAATTACTCATTCTAACATAAAAACTGTATGCTGGTTTTGGGATGGCATGCCTCAAATACTGTACAGTTGAGTCACATGTTTTGTAATATAATTCTCTAATATTATAATATACAGTTTGCCCTCCAATTCGCGACCACCTTTGAGACATAAAAAATTTAGGTGGTCTCAGATTTTGGTTTCCACATAGAGGGTTAGATTAGTGTAAATAGATTGGAAATTATTTATATGTTCTTCTAAAATTTTGTCTTGAATTAGAGGGTGCACTATATTTACATATATTAATATTATTATTAATGATCACATGAATGCATATATTTGTTATTTATTTCAGCAATATTTTGTAAGGGTGGTCCATCCAGCCATGGCTGATCAATTGGGACCCTCATTAAATATGCAGTGCACTTTTGTAATAACCCATAATTAACAAACATGAGCTAATTTCAGCTTAGCCAAACTTACCATCAACATTATTTAAACTAAATAAAACATCAAGATCTTGATTAAGAATCTTGCCAATTCCATCAACCAGACCAAGATTATTCATTGGATACACAGCAACATGATCACCTGACTCATATCTGGCTCAAGACAAGAAATTACAATATAAATTATATATAAATTATGATTAAAATAAGGTAAAGTTGAAACCATAGTTCTGTTGTAGACATATAAGAGTAGCTGATACTGATTTACCGGGTTGCACAGACATAAGGTAGCTTTGATCAGTAGGGTAAGAATGCTTTGATCTTTAGTTTATTCATAACTATGTCACCTACTAGGGGTAAAGTTTTGATTGGTCAAACACTTTTGGTACTTGTGCATATAAGCTTGCAAATAATAATAATAATAATAATTTTTCATTCCTGATGATGACATAATTAATGTCGAAATATTGAATCCCGACACGATGGCGTGCATTTCGATACTTGGAGTATGTATTATACTATCTTATCTGAGATAAATCAGTGGACCTTTCGGTTTTAGGAGAAAAAGAAACTAAAAGAAAAAAATTGTTTTTGCATCCATCCCTCCTATACAATTTTCAGCATTAAAGGCAAACAATTTATTTTTTTAGGCTTTATCTTGATTCTACATTTCAGTTTTCTGAGATATGAAAGTTTGATGTCGGAGTGGAAAGAATGTAAATCAGTGTGATGGGAAGGAATGAATATGATTTTTGGAAATACGTCAGAGAAAAAACAGAATTGCACAAAACAATTTAATAGCATACATCTAAAACATGATTGACATGTGAGGTAATCCATTCGGTTGACTGACGCTGATGGTATTTATACAAGGAAATGAAACAATAAAAACAACATTTACGAAAACAAAAAAAAATAACAGAAAGTTTTGTTTAATATCAATGGAAAGTATAAAAATTTAATCTAAACAATTTATTGTTGATATAAAACATTTTTCTTCATCTCCTGTTGTTTTTAGAGAAGCGAAAACAATCTTAATTTCATCACTGACAAAATAGAAGGTTCTTTAACTTAAAATTTAAAGTAAAGTATCTTGTACAATTTAAAATCTTTATTTTATATCATAATTTGCATCCACCAACAAATTTATATGAAACAATCCTTAATTGGTAATAATGGCCCATAATACGAACGTTTTATATAGGCTGAACATTTTTTTAAATCAAATTTTAAGTATTAAAACAAAAGATTTATGTATTTAAAAAATTGTGATTTAAAATTGTACAAACAAAAATTAAAATGCATGTATTTAAAAAAAGCACAGTAGAATTCAATTTATTAAGAAATGAAAAGGGCTCATATTCAACACACAATACAAGCAGGTTAAGGTCGTAAGCATCATAATGTTTTAATTTTTAAAAACGATAAATTACTAATCAGTATGGACATGTGGAATGGTGCTAACTTCATTTAAGGCCAGTATCTAAAAAAGGGTTGCGATGGATGTGCAGACGTTCTAACCCAAGGAACTCAAAATTCAGGAGACTGGAGGTGCGCTGGCCAAGTGCTTCCAACCACCAAAATGATTAAAATCCAAGTTTTTTTGTGCATGCCTTTTGATCTCCGAGGTGTCACTCACATAATTTATAATGTTGGCACACAAGGGAAAAATTGACACAGAAATTTTTGATACAAAAGCCACTAAATTTGCAGGTTTTTTTTGTATTTGGGGTTCTTTTCTGAAATATCAGGAGTATTTGATAAAATTTAGGAGACCGTGAGATTGCATGAAAATTCAGATAGTACTAAATACAAAAATTGTTAATTTTTGTAATGGAAAGGAATCTTTTAAATCTACATTTTCAATAGTAATATGTTATTCTTTTGGGCATTTAAGTTTTAAAGTAATTGGGCATTTAAGTGCTAATGAAATAATGAAAGCTGTGATAATCAGCTCTTCCCCTGACACCTTTGTTCTATTTCTGTACACCCTAGCAGACCCATAAGTTCAATAGATATCCTAATAATTTTGCCCTACTAATTCAATCAGTCCATGCTAGCCGCTGAACGCTACACATACGCAGGGCTGGAGCGAGTGCGCAGCCGGCAGTTGGGGGGCATCGTATACATCCCTGGAGGTATATTTTTAAAAATTGTTTTAAAAAACACGAAAATAATATTTTTTTTTCTTTTGAGATGATCACTACTAGGCTATATAGTATACCAGCAGGGGACACTATCAAAGTGAATATTTAAATTTTAACTACAGCATATACAGAAAGTTTAACTCACCGTATTTTGGAGTCGGTAATATCAAATTCTATATGCATACATGACCTTTCACCTCCCTTATGGAGTTCACGATTGATCTGAACCTTGCAGACAAATGGATTCTTTGCATCAAATGGTCTGAGGGATGAACAAATATGTTTATTTCATCACAATCATACAAGAGTGATCAATCTGAATTGCACATTTAAGACTGAACAGTGAAAACAAATATTTGAAATAACAAAGAGGCAACTTGAAAGTAGCACAATATTTGGGATATAAAGTACAGGTCTCCCTCAAATTAAAGACCACTCCAATAAAAGAAACACATTCAATTAATTTCTGTGGTCCCAAATTTTAAAAATTTCTTTTATATTTATTAATTTAATTAGAGACTAAAACTGCTAAAGACCATGAAAAACTTGGTCACATGTCTATAACTGGAGGGAGACCAGTTCTATATAAGTTTAGTAAAACAATAATTGTTTATATATCATTTATTGATTATAAAATTCAAAAATGCAAAATGGTTATAATTATTAAAGATGTACTGTTAGACATGATTTTAATTTTACATCAGAATTGTTTAATTTGTATATTTAATTAAGTTATTAACATGGAATTAAAAATATGGATTAAAAAAAAAATATGAATGAGAGTACGTATAAATAGTTAAAATAAAAATAACGTTAATTAAGGAATGACGCTTTGACTCCATCATGAAGTCATTCATAAGTTAAGTTCAAATGAGTTAAATAACAGTACTGTACTGCTTACTAACTATAAACCAAAAAGTTCATAACAATGGGACAGTATAATTAGCCATGCCAAAGTTAGACAAAGAGCTTAGTTTGATAGTATCAGACTGTTTATTTAGACTAGGTTTTAATTGTTTTTGATGTATAGCATATGAGACAATCCAATTTACTTCAGCATTTCTTTAGCGTCTTGAAACATTTATTAATAGTGTTCAGGTTGGTATTATGGTCCTTCACAAGTGTATTTCAATACTTGGAGTATGTATTATACTTTCTTATCTGAGATTAATCAGTGGACCTTTCGGTAGATCTTTTATGTTCATCAATGCGTTGGTGGAGGTGTCGGCATGTGTATCCGACATAACTTTCATCACACAAGTCACACATAAAGTGGTACACAACACACTGTTGATTGACATTCATAGGTTTCTTTTCCATTTTCTTGGAAAGAAAGTGTTAAGGTATTGATCCCACTGGAACTGAAGATATACAAATTACCAATAATACTCTACAACTAGCTAGGAGGCAAAACTGATACGGCTTAAACTCACATGAGAAACAGAGCAATTGATACACATGTTTTTTTTGGAAACTTGTAGAAAGACATGTTCATAGCCCAAAAACAGTTATGTGTCACATTTTAAAGCAACATTAACTTGGAATAAGCCATATCCTTATTTGCACAGTGTAGATTCATGATAAATTAGACAGAAAGCGGAAGTTATCAGCAAATCGTTACCTATCAGTATCATTGGAATATTGACTAAATGAACCAGCTTTACAACATAAAAATCTACCGAGCATAATTTTCACTCATTTATAAGTTACTAGAACTTTATAGAAGATTATGATTTCAAAATTAATTTAAAATTAAAACCAAGGCTTAAATTAAACTAAGATTTGAGGATAAACATGTGCAAGATACACAACATATTGATTTTTCCCACATTAGCGGAAAAGGCCATTATTTTTAGGAGTGATGTTTTGCCCTACCTGACGTGTTATCGTACCGAATAATCGATACGTCCCCAAATTTTAGCGAAAAAAAAATGGTGGTCGTGGGTTCGATTCCCATCCGAATCACTTGCAAATTTTTTTCACTAGTGTTTGGGGACGTACGATAACATGTCAGGTAGGGCAAAACATCACTCCTATGATATTTTCCTTACGCAAATCTTTATAGAAATTTTTACTATTATTATTATTATTATTATTATCATTATTATTATTATTTATTATTTTTGTTGTGATTTTTGTTCTCTTCTATTTCGTTTTTTCTGTGTATGCACAGAATTTTTCTGTCTGGACACTTTGGTCACTTTTTGTGACTGGATCTTCTTCAAACTTTGTACAAGCAAAGACCATCAAAGATCTGCATACTTTATTAAAATATGTACTACAGTGTTACATCACGATACCACATGATACTACTACGACGACGCGACTCTGGTACTCCAGGACATCATTCTAGTTCTACAAACCAAATATCACTATTAAACTGTTGATTAAGCATCAATTTGCGCTTCTAAAGGGTTTCAAAATACAACAGCTACAGCTACTATGGATTAATCAGACAAACTGTGAAATGCAAGAACAGCATTTGCCTTCAACCTTCGGACTAAAAATGCACTGACCTCTGCGGGGTCAGTTTTGTAGCCATTTGTTTAGAACTATCCTCATCACTCTAATAAACCAAAACCACTGCAGGCTGGTTCGAGTATCAGTGGCATCAAGTGATTTTTCTTCTCTTTTTTTAATTCATAATTGTTTTTCTATGATATTTTTACTTTGTTAATTTCAAAATCTGTTTTCATTATACATGTTAATGAGGAAAGCACTATGTTCTGTTTTACAAACATATTTCTGGTTTATAATTGTCTGAATATTCCACATTCTTTTGTGTGCATTGTTGTACTTGTAATCTGAGCTTTCATGACTTCTGAAGCAACATAAGCAACATTCACAAAAGTGGAACAGTCCAAACAAGGAAGGACCAATGATAATTCAGCAGACATAGATATAAGACATTTTTTCACACAGAATTTAGCATTTATAAAAATAACCTTGACAAAAAGCACAACTCTGAAGCATTTGTAATAGATCATAAAAATGAAGTTGATCTACTGTCTTGTGTATGTAGTCCAGCTCTTCTCACTTGCATACTGTTTCAATAAATGTTACAAATGTGATGTAGTAGAAAACATATCCTGTTATGCTGACTGTACCTGTCAGACTTGTAAGGTCCAAGGCCAAAATGAATCAAACCAGCTGTATGTGGACTGCAGCTTCAAAGGCATGGAAAATGTTCCGAATCTCCATGCATATCAAAACGAGATGAGCGTCTACAATCTTGCAGGAAATCTTATCCAATGGCTGGATAATGATACATTTACGAATGCATCTGAACTGAAAACCCTGTGTCTTGGGAAGAATGAATTATATCACAGCAAAATTGATTCATATGCATTCCATGGACTTCGGAATTTGGAATCGCTATCTTTTCAGGAGAATATCCAGCTTGGTCAGCTCCGGAAATCTTGGTTCAGTGGGCTTTTTTCTCTGGAGTATTTGAATGTCAAGTATTGTGGTATAAGCGTGATTGACAAAAATGCATTTCAAAACTGTAGAAAATTGAGATCGATAAACCTCAGCAACAATCGAATTAAAACCCTTCACAATGACATTTTTCAACATATGAATTTGCTAATGGATCTATTCCTATCAAACAACAAGATTTCATCAGTTGAAAGTTTTCCATTCAATGGATCGCACCACTTAAAGCTGCTTATTCTGCATAATAACCAGATTACCACTATCACCAAGTCTTTTGGCCTACAAAACATGACTGGTCTAAAAACAATCAACATTGCCTTCAACCCCTACAGTTGTGACTGCAAATTAGTTTGGTTTAGACAATGGCTTATCACCACCAACGTCACACTCCAGAATTACCAGGAGACAGCATGCACCTCTCCAAAACTCTACCCTCTCTTAGAATTTGATCCAGATTCACTAGACTGCCAACCACTCGGAAGGATTCTAAGAATAGTTATTCCGGCATGTTCTGCTGGAGTCTTTTTGATTATCGTAATTTCCATCGTATACTATTATCGATGGAAACTCAGGTATGGTGGTAGATCAAAGCTTTAGGAAGGCCTCAAAACTGTTATCATCTAGAAATGCAATTGGTTTCAAAAGACCATATTTGAAACATTTAAAGAAAAAAACAAATAAATTGTACCTAGAAATGCAAGTGGTTTCAAATTACAATATTTGAAACAAGAGAAAATAATACAATATAAATTGTAACAGCAGCTATCTACCATCCATTTAGTAATAGCTAACTAGAAATGTAACATAATTGCATCAATTTAATAGAATGAATAGAGTTCCTTTAGTTAGTCTTTCATTAAAAAGCACATGAGCCTTAATCTACAGAGCTATATTATACTTATTAAATCCAAAACTTATACATATACCCAATTTATAGACATTATGGGCTTGTTCGAGGGAAAAAATATCTGTAGAAAGTAAACAAAGAATGGGTTGATGGTATAAGTGTTTCTCATTTGCATTTGATTAACTTCAAATTTTACTTCCGGAGTAGTTTGCTTACATGGTATTTAATGTTAGCTAAAACTTGCTCGAACGGTCGACTACCCACTGAGTGCTCAGTGCGATTAACCTGTGAATTTAATGGAATACAGCATTTTTTCACTCCAACAGGCCCTATGTTACACTGCACATGTACTACAAAAAATATTTAGCGAGTTCCCAGCTACATTACATTTGTTTGAACACAAACTTCTGTAAGATTAGCATGTGTTCTGGTGTAATAACCATGTAATATAGGTCTCTAAAACTCCTGAGATACTAAGCCCAAGAATAATAAAAGAAACATCTTTCTCTTTGTATTTTTCTGTCTATTTCTTTCTATGCAAAATATATTTGTATATACTTTAATATACATTATTATCACATTGGACAGACCTTTTAAGGTTTAAATTCATTAATGTGATTCAGTAAAATATATCTTGGGGAGTTCGTGCAACCTTCAGCATGTGTGACGTGCAACATTCTGTGAACTGGGTATTATACAATTCAATTTCACAATATCTTTGAATTTTAAAATTGTACTGTACCAGTCTAATAATAGGTGCCATCATGTTATTATTTATTTAATTTTACCTATTTGTGTACATAATTACTAGTTGTATGTACCTATAAGCCATTGATATGTTGCATGTTTTGTTTTTTATTATAATTCTAAATGTATGCATGCCTTGTATTTTATATATCGTAAAAATTTTAATTATTTTAAATTAGTTTGCTTGTTTAGGTGCAATATATCCTTTTACTTCAAGACTATAATGTGGCTATTTTAATGTTTTTAAATAGGTGTATTTTATTGATGATTTTGAATAAAAATACCATGAGAATGAATGAAACGTGTAAAAATCTACTCTTTCTCAGGTATTGGCAACACCGACGCATTGCAAGGAAACAGTATCAACAAATCTGTGAGCAGGGTCCAGCGCCTATTAATGGCGATGACATAAGATATGATGCATATGTCTCGTATCATAATGAGGATCAGGGCTGGGTGTACTCCATACTCCAACCCACGCTTGAGCAACAACCGTACAATTTTAAGCTTTGTCTGGACTATCGCGACTTTATTGCTGGCGAAAAAATTCTTGAAAACATAGCAAATGGTGTGAAATACAGCCGCAAAATGGTACTAGTAGTCACAAACAGTTTTGCGAGAGGCGAGTGGTGCTATTTCGAACTGGAGAGGGCGCGCATGCGCATGTTCGACAATCAGGAAGACATACTCGTTGTTATCCTACTGGAGCAATTGTTACCACAGAACACACCGGTTCTCCTACAACAGATTTTAAGTAAAAACACTTATGTTGAATGGTCCATGAATCCGGATGAACAAAGAGTGTTTTGGTTAAAACTCACCGCAGCTTTAAAAACACCAAATGCACGGCAAAGTGATGAATTCACTGGATCTTTATAAAGCTTGGTTTCCGTGAAAATCGCTACATGCTATCGTTGACTACTTTGGCAACAGAGATTCAGGGAGCTTTTCTGATTGCATAGGGGACAGCTACCAGTGCAAGGATTGCAGTGAAAATGCTGTAGCGCCTGTGTAGCGATTGTATGGAAACCGAGCTTAACTCAGATACAAAAGTTTTACATGTTCAGCTGTAATTGCTTTGTGTAGGATAATAAATCTTCCTTGAGTGAAAATCGAACTTAATAACTAATCAATCAGAACAAGGCCGTGAATATGCACTAGTCCCTCAGACATACGTATTTACGTACATTTACATTAGGCTCCAATGTTGCATTGTTAGCAGGGGTTTAGCCATAAAAACGAAATAGGCAGTCCAACATGGAAGCCAGTGGGCGTGGCACTGAGCCTATTAGCAGGCCACGCCGACTCAAGGCCACACCCCTTGCAAAACATAAGACAAAAAAATAGAAAATTATGATCTTTAGAGGAGAGTTAAAGGTGTTTTTATGTTGGAATTTGTCTTTATAGGAATAGTGTTCAATTTTTAAGTATAAATGTTTTTAACACGGTGTGTGTTGTAAGTGAACTTTTCACTGGGTAGGCAATAGTTTAAGCCTTACATTTTTGGGAATCCCCACCGAATATTGGTACGAAAACACAGTACATTTAATCAATAAAGTTGTTTTATCAAACATAAATATATGATTTAGCTTTAATTTAATGGAACATCCGATAGATTTGAAGAATATAAAGAATTTGCTAAAGGTAGACCAGACCCAATTAGGCTAGGCCGAGCTGATTAAGCCAAGCAGTACAAGCCGTCACAGTAAAAGTGGCTGTCTTAAAAATAATTGTAGGCCGTCCAAAAGACGGACGGACGGCTTGCTGGCTAAGCCTATGATTGTTAGCCTACATCTGTTTGCTACATTACACTAAACCTGAAGTTTAGTATTCGAAGCAACTGAATTAAATTTGGATGATCTTGAGTTCGATTTCTGATTGAGACAATTCCTCCCACCCACACCACTCATATGAGACGCAAGGACATGATAGGGGGCTATTGATACAAAAATAGAATCTACACTAAACAAAAAGTCTATGTACTAGTTTCTAATTTTATCACAACTGCTAACTACTCACCCTTTCTGTTTCTGAAGTGAGTGAAGTCTTGCTGGTTCTCCAGTGTAGATCTTCTCATCTGGTATATCCTCATGTACAGTCACAGAATACTGACGTATACTGGAAAGTTAAAAATATTTTAAAAAGTTAGATAAAAATTAGTTCGTCAAAAGGAGTCGTCTGGAGCAGCAGTTGTGCTTCTGCTTTCCAACCTTGAGGTCAGAGGTTCAATCCCTTGCTGTGCATTTCACTTGTGTCCTTAGGTAAGGCACATTCCTACGGTTGTCTCTCTCAGCCTAAGAGTACAAATGGGTACCTGGTAGGTTCAAATGTATGCATAACTTAAAATTGTTAACTTTTTTTTGTTTTGTTATGTTAATTCATTATATCCCTCCTGGTATCTTAGTCAATCCCAGACGGCGATCAACTCGTTTAAATCATACTAATTCCTTTGTTGTTCCATTTGGGTGCACTCTGTCTTTCAAATCATCATTGTATCCATCCGTTATTTTACTTTGGAACAGTCTACCACAATCAGTGGTAGACTCAAAATCTATATTCACTTTTAAACAAAATTCAATTGAACACCTTAAAAACTAATCCTCCTGATGTCTTGTTCATATTTTTCTTTCTTTTGTGATGTTGGTCTGTAGCTTAAGCTTGTTTAAGGGGGAGGCTAATTATTAGCCATTAGTCAATTGACTATGTGGCTATCTTGCCTCCCTAGGTTTTGTACTGAGCTTTCATAAATAAAAAAAAAATAAATAAAATAAAATTAAAATGCGCTGATTACAGCTGCAATGTTTATTATTGAATTCTTCACAGGGAGCTGAGTATGTGTTCCATGTGTGCTTGAACCAATGACCGAGGGTAATAATGTGAAGTGCTTAGAGGCATGAGACACTATATAAGTCTAACATAATATTTATTATTTTAAAAAAAGCATTCCAGATCTATTATGTCCATGGAATTTTATGAAGAAATTGTAAGAAGTCCATTTAACTAGCACTCATCTTTGGAACTACTTTCCAGCTGATACGAATATTAATGTTACAAAAGCATGTAAAATGAATAAATAATTAGTATGTCTGAATTTTGATACAAGTCTTCATTTGTTTTCGAAGTATTAAACATATTACCATGTACATTATATGTACGTTATTGTATATTGTCTACTTCAATTTTTAAAATATGTCTCAGCATTATTTAAGTTACAAACCTGCACTTCATGGAAAAGAGGAGTACCTTACAGTATTGAATGGCCTAAACTGAAAGGATTTGAATAATTAAATTTTCAAATTGGTGACTTTTGATTAATACATATAAACTTTGTTTATGTTTCATAAAAAAAAACAAAAGAAAAGCATCATCATTTGTAAAATCTGTTGGTAAGGAAACAGATTGTCAAGAAGTACATACCTACTTAATCAATCAAACAATCAGTCAATCAATAAATCAATCACAGGTAACTTACCTGCTCTCATCACCTGTTGCTTCAACTCCAAAGTGCTCACAGACACTTGGCCAAAATTTATCTTTCCATGTAACAAAATCTTCTTCCATGCTGGCAAAAACAAAAAGAAAATATTAAAGTGGATCTGTAGACTGGTGAATAAGATGCTTCAGGGTCCTGTAAAATGGATGAATTCACTTCTCACTGCCAACGACGAGTACACTCATTCCATTGGGTGCTGCTGAGGATGTTAATGGCTAAACTTATCAACACCTTGGTAACATTCTATAATTTTTATTACATTTTTCTACATTTTAGAATCACAGAATTAACGGCTGGTAGTTGGGGGAAGTCCCACCTAGGTCAAAATGTACAAATAATATATATGTGACTAGTGTGTTTGTACATATGTTTGGTACACGGGACAAACGATAATTCAACATGAAACAATAATGCAACGGGTAAGCACTCGCCCTTCTGACCAACTTTCACTACTGTATCTGTCTCTGTATGACCTAATTATTTTCTGTTTTCAGATAAGGGTTGATGTTATCAGTTTTGATTTACAGTATAATGCCCTCTTCTTGTTTTACCACAATATGGTTTCATAATAGGCTATTAAAAAAATACAGAAATAATGTTTCAAGCTCAGTGTACCCCACCCCCCACCCCAAGTGGTAGTTCAGGTACCGATTTTGATAGCAGTTTCATATTAGAAAAAAAAAATTAAACCTACACAATCCAATTATAAAAATATTTATAAACCACTAAAATGAAGTGAAAGTGAAAGGCCTATAACCTTTGAAATAAGGGTGATTATAATATAGATTAACGTAATAAGCATTTCAAATTCACAATTAATTTTATTCAGTCTTTAAATAAAATTGTAATTTTATGTAGTATTAATTGTAATTTTTACAATGTTCTGTAAATATAAGGATAATTATTATTAAAAAGTTCTAATTTAACTGTTGCTACTGGGGTTTAATGGAGTTAAACCTTAATTCAAGTTCAATTTAAATGGAATCTTTGGTAATAACAACTTTGATGTAAAAATTGTAGTAATGTACATAAAATATATGCTTGTTTTCCTTTATTTTGTACATTTGAATATATGGACAAACTTATGTAACTCAGTCAGCTACACCAGTCCTTTTGCATACATGCTATTTGTCTTTTATTTTTGAAAATGTAAGTAAAGGATTACAGCAAAAATATGCTAGGAACTAATAATAAACAACAGGAAACAATGTAAGAGGAATTTGATGGGCAACACATTTAAATAACAATTACAGACAGTATGACAAACAATGTTTCTAAACTTACAAACACTTGTTACTTATTAATCTATAATTAGTCACTAAAATAGTCATTATTTTTTTGCTAGCTTGGAAGGGGATATTTAAAAAAAATATAAAACATACTTTCCATCATCATCTCCTAACCCAGGCTCAAATAACCGCTCGCCTCCAAGCTCCTCCAATTTCTTGTCAACAAATTTTCCCATCTCATTATAATGTTCATAAGTTTTGTTGCCTAGTCCAAAAACCTAAATATAAAGAAGATAATGTGATGATTACAAAAAGAGGCAATGAGGAAACAAATATAAAGCATAATTGAATAATCTCTTTGTCAATTAGTACAATATCAAAAGTTCTCCCAATAGGCTAAAATAGCATGATTGTGCAATATACCTTGAGCAATTGGTGAAAGGATAGTATCAAAGGTTTAGTTGTGTGTCGCTAAAAACCATTGGTTGTGATTACTTCCAATGAGGTTATTTTTTTGCAAACAAACCCAGTCCCAAACCCAGTGTTATTTATGACCAATGTTTAAAGATTCTTCACCCATTATACTGGATATTCACTTAAATCGGCATTGCAAATTCAGTGTAGAACATCCCTATTAAGGGGACATATTTTTCAGCCACAAAATGAGGGAAAGTATACAGGTATCTTCAACACCACAGTCTACCACTTCAGGGAACACTGCTATAAAGGGACACTTTTTTGGTAATGAAGGTGCCCCTTAATAGGAGGTTCTAGTAACTGTGTATATCTACAAATTTATCAATCTAAAGCCCTACCAAGATTATCAAACTCTATTTGTCAAAAACATGTGACATGTCTAAATATGGTCATAATGACATAATATCATGACCATATATAGGCACATAATGACTATATATGGGCACACAACTGTCTTTTTGTCAAAGAAAATTTGATGGTGTGGAAAAAGCTTTTAAACAAATACAAAACAAACTGATCTTACAGCAAATTTAAGTCCTTGCAAGTCTGGGCTGCCTTCTTGTAGCCAGTCGTAGAATTCTTGAGCATTATCTGTAGGGTCGCCCTCCCCATACGTTGCCATGCAAAATATAGCAAAAGAATTGTCAATTTCCTTCAGGCGAGTCAAGTCTTCCTAAAAGGAAAAGAGTTCAATAAAACATTTAATAATGTTTAAATATGAAAAATGGATTAAACAACGTCAAAGAAGACAACACATAAATAGCTTTGATTCATAACAAAAGCAAAAATAATACAAGATCACCTTTAAAACCTGAAATTTTTGGGGTGGTTTCAGTCTCCAATCAGAGGGTTAGTTTTGTGCTAAAAAAATTGAATTATTATTTATAATAATTAAGTAAAAACTCATCCACTCAATGTCTACGTCTTCATAATTTGCTACATTAACTTACCATTTCGCTTTCCTCTGGGTCCTGAAGAAGGGCTTTCATTCCGTATCGTTGCGAATCTTTTGCCAACCTTCCAGCAAACTCTTCTGCTGTACCCGTTTGTGAACCATAGAAAATTACTATATTTTTATTCTGAGGAAATTTTTAAAACAATATCAATATAGGGGAGAGAAAATTCATGATAGAATATTTGAATGAATTATGTAGTACCAAAGCTTTATCATAATAGGAGAGAAAGGCACTGGTTTCCCTTATTAAAACACAGCTGGAGTAAATAGGCATTCTTGTTTACATTAATAATAAGATGACAGTTTGTATCAAACACATTTCTAGGATCGTGTATTCGTGAAAATAAACCGTCTTACAATGTTGGACTGGAGTTGAATTTGCTTGTTGATTCGGATGCTTACCTTTCAATCTCAATGGGTTCAATTCCAGCCACAGTAACAGGATTTTTTCTCACAACCAAAATCAACTCCACTGACTAAGCCTGATAATGAGACTAAGTGCATGTACAGCATCTTGAGTACATGTTTATTTTGTGAAGGGGTTGCCAGTTAGACATGTGATTAAACTCCATGCCTCATGAAGAAACTTTGTTTATAAAACATCAACTTTAGGACCATACCTGTGAAGCATCTATTTCCTTCCATTTACTTATGTTGTTCAACTTACCGTTGACTTCATCTTTTGAATAAAACAGGAGTCTGCTGCCTTCATCATCGGAGCACTGTGGAAATTAACAATTTTAATTTCCATATTAATTGTATTTTAGTATTGACTTTAAGTTAAATACATTTTTTTTATGTTAAGTATAAACACATTATTGTACTACTTTATTACTTATGCAACTTGCTAAAAATTTTACACCAAAATTTAATACTTCATTTACAATAAGGATACACAGGTAGCAAAAAGCATTGAATTGGACTATTATTACCGGTAGTACTGTTGTTATACTAATATTGAATTTTTTATAATGACATACAGTATATTTTTTGACTTATTATAGATAATGAATATTTTGTATCACTGTAATTGACAACATTTCATTGGTTGAATTGACCTGGTAAGAGGTGCTGTAGTTTTTAGTACTTTTCTGTGACTACCTCATCCCTTGTCTATGCGTAAACGTAACACATACCAAAAGAACTAATAAAGAAGAATGCTTTGCTGTTTAATATTCAAGAGGTATAGTACTGTAAACAAAAAAACCCATGGATATATTTCTTTAAATCAGTGAATTCTAATTCTCTTGCAGTTAAATGATTAGGATTACCTCCCTCCCCTTTGTACCAGGAGGTAATTCCAATCATCCAACACCTTGGGAAGTAAAATTCACTACTTCACCTCAAAACATATTGCATTACATAGTTTACTACTGTACACTGGTATTAAAGCACAGATAGATCCCAACTTCATAATGCATGTACTTTATGCATCCACATTATGACAAATAATATAACTGGGCAAACAGACAGCAAGATGAACAGAGATACAGGATCTCTGTAACTGTACTATTATAGTAATCAATAGAAAATGGCTGAAAAGACAGCAGAAAATAGTACAAAAGTGCATAAAAGGCAGTTACCAATTTACATGCAGCACAAAAAGAAACCATCAGCTTTATGTGCTCTTCAATTGGATTGTAAAAAAAAAATGTGATTTATTTGATTGTTTATTATCTTTTGAAACCATAGGAATATTTTATTAAGTTTAATCTTAGATTGCCTTGTAAAGGCTTGCAAAGAAAACACATGTAGATAGCTGACATAGGACTATACTTTGATAATTCCAACATGAAAAAATACTCATGGGAAGAGAACCTTCCAATACCGAGCATCAATGCTCTGGAATGACTTTCCAGTTGATGATAATAAACATTTCCAAACTATTAATTAGGTTGATTTTTAAACCTTTTAATTTCATTGGTGCATTGTTTATTGTTTTTACCTCTTTTTTCCTTCATCTGTTATTTTGTTAAATTGTTTTTACTTAATCTGGCCCTCTTAGGAGACCAGTACATCAAATGTATTGAAATGAGCTTTCCAGAATAAAGAAAGATTTGTATTGTATTGTATTGTATAGTAGCTCTCTACTTTTAATATTGTGCTATTTTTTAAGTGTGTCTAAGGGGAACCACTTCATACAAGTTGATTGAGTTAGGTTTTTGGTTTTTCTTTCTCTTGTTCTTTTTCACTTGTTTCCTTGTTTGTTTTTTTTAAATATTTTATGAATTATTGAGAGAAATAAATTAAATGATGGAAAACCAAGCAAGCATGAACAGCTTTCAAACAGTTCCCTGGTGATTAGATGATTCTTTAGTTGGTGCAGTTTGAGCTACAAAGTGGAGCCAAAGGTCATGTCATTGTCAAATCACATTTTCCCACGCTAGAACCTATATATTAAGAACCTATATATTATTATTATTATTAGAATCTTTTTAAAAGATTTCAAAATATCTGCGGTTACTATAGGCCAAAGAAAACGTGTGTGTTGCACAAGCCCGCCACCAAAATATCTGCTCATTGTTGCAAGAGTTAATACTACGGCCTCAGATCATTTTTATTTTCAGCTGCCACACTTTGGAACTTCCCCCGTGAACATATTACTGACTCACATTCAGTTGTTAATTTTAAGACAAACTTAAAACTCATCTTTTTAACACCTAAACATGCACAGAGCCTTTGACTTTCACTTTGGTTAGTGATATTGGCACTTTATAAATTATTATTATTATTATTACTATTATCTCAAAAAGTCAACTTTTTCCAAAAAATATTTCTTTTTGGAAGAAGCCGTAAGGGGTAATTAACAATTATCAAAATTTTTGCAAGTGTACAAACTGTACTTTTTTTTCGGTACTCCCTCCCTCCCCTCTGAAAGTGTACAAAAAAAATGTTTATTTTGCAAAACCATTTTCCATTTTTTTGTGAAGTCAACTGATGTAATTTGCTTGGTTACTTGAAAATGTATCATATCCATGGCTACTGTACATTATAATTTTTATCAAAATTTTTATGCATGTAAAAGTGAACAAATTTGTCTACCCTCTCCCACCTAGCATACTGTTTGTACATTTGTGAAAATGTTGATGATGTTGAACAACCCCTTAGTACTGTACAGAATTATTACAAAGGTTACTCTCCAAACTTTAATCAATAATAATGTGATACCTTATTCATGAATTTTAGCTCTATGATTAGTATTTTACCAACCAAAATGTATGAGGTGAGGTGATGGTTGAATATATTTTTTTTTAAAGTAATTCTATAATTTCATGACTTTTAATTAATAATGCATTTTAATGTTTCTTGCTTCTTTGGATACATTACTGACTTTTCAATGTATTTTTCAATTTTTCTGCTCTTCTTTTTGTAAAGTATTTCCAACATTTTCTATTTTTTTTGTGCACCATTTATTTTACTCAGTTTTATTTATAGATTCGTAAGCATTTTATATGCTTTGTTTTAATGTAGTTTCACTTTCACCTCATGATTTTTACCATTTTTATTTAATTTTTATTTATTTTATTCTTAATTTTTTTAGTTTATTTTTCATCATTTCATCATCATCATTATTAATATTATTACTTTATTATTATTATTATTATAATTCTTTAAGAGTACTTGCTGTTATTGAAACAGATTTTAAAGTAATTATTTTATTGTATCTTATCGTAACTGGCCAAGGCCTAAAACTAAATAAAAAATCTTCAAAGATCAACAACCCTGATTTTCAAATATCACTTGGCTTCAACACCACAATTTTGTTTTATGTTATTGTCCTAATCCAATCCATATTAGCCTGGTTCTCACGAGAGCACTGTAGTATCCGGATCGGGAGCTAACCGTTAGTGCTAACCATTAGAACCTGCGTGAGAATGCCCGATCAGTTAGCGCTAACCGTTAACAGTATCCGGATACCGCTAACGGTTAGCAAGTTGAGCACGTTTTTACCATCAACCAATCACACATACACGTTTACAATATCCCGTTTCTTATTGCCCAGTGATTCGATCATCATATTCTAGGTATCCGGATTGGGATTTTCTCGTATGGACGCACAGCAGCTAACGGTTAGCAGGATCCGGATCCTGCTAACCGTTAGCAGGAATGTGAGAACATAGCCGTAAACATTCAATAAGAAATAGGAAATTGTTTAAATCCAGGCTACAGACAAAAATAATTTTTGATATGTTGTACAACTGATTTTTTTTAAAACACTAAAAGGGTATTTGATGAAAACCTCAAACTTACGCAATATTAAAATTCTTTATGTTAATCGACTCTTCCTTTTTCCTTCCTTTAAAGAAGAACCAGTAGATACCGAGACCCAAACATGCTGACAGGACAAAAATATCCAGGAGGCCGATGAATGGTGTTGCCTCCTCCACCGTCTCTGTTCCTACATCATCCAACGAAGACATTCTTAAAAACTGAAAGATGGAAGACATGTTAGATGAAACTTGCTGTAATAAAGTGTGGTGGTGTACTCTACACTGTTTTAATCTAATTTTGTTTAATTAGTCTAGTGCTAGTCAGAAGCAGATTAGTGTCAAAGAAAGCGGTTATGGCTATTAGAACGATTGCTGGAAACATTGTACCAGCAAATTCTACCAGCACATACAATTCTAACAACCTGCATAGAGGTATCTTATTGTCTGGTGTGAGTTTCTACAGTGAGAAATCATTAATTATGGCAAATTCACATCAACTTAAATCTTAATAGGCTCTGCTGGATGAAAGTACCTGTTAATATAGCCATTTAACAGTGTCACTCAAACTCCTGTGAATGATGGTACTCATGCATGTACGATTCAGGGGCTCATGCAAAAAAACCTGGGCAGTAACCTGGTACCTTCAGCTCTCTTTGTCTCTATTTTTTTCTACTTAATCTTACTTCAATTTTACATTTCAATTCACATTTATTTCAGGTTAAAATCTGAAAAAGTATGTACAACAAATTTAAATTCAGCAGATATAAAGAATATCTTGCATCTTCCTTGCTGACCATGACACAGAGTTGTCAGTAAGATTATTTTAATATTATTATACAGATTTGATATATTTTAGTTTTAGATTTCCCTTCTTTCATAACCATGACACAAAGTTGTCAGTAAGATTATTTTAATATTATTATACAGATAATAGGGATATAGCCCCCTCAGCACCCCCTTTGGCGCCACCTTTGGAAGAATAGTGAAAATTTACCAAAATAGGTAGGTTTCAAGTTGAGTCAAAAATAACTGGGGACAGCAGATATTACCATGATCAGCTGGGTCCGAATTCCAAAATGTAGGAGCTGAGAAAAAGAAAGATCGCTCACCAGTACAGATATTGTCATGAGGGTAAAAATAGAATTTAATGCTATATGGCACTTTAGCCCTTCAATCTCTGTGTTAGTTTTATACTTAGTCATTGCTTACTTAGATTTTGAATAGCAAACATTTAGGGCATATGTTAGGAAACCTCAATAGATAAGAAGATGTTTCACTAACCAAAAGGTCCACTGATTAATCTCAGAAAAGATAGTATAATACATACTCCAAGTCAGGAATCCTGATGATGACATAATTAATGTTGAAATATTGAATCCTGACACTCGATACTAGGAGTATACTATCTTATGTTCCACTGAAGTACAATACTCTTGTAGGCACAAGGGTGGGTGATTTATTTCAAGTGTGTTGCGAAATAAAGCAATGAGTCGGTCAAGAAAATATAATTTAACATTTCAAATCACAAGTTTGGTGCTCGAGTATAATTTTATTTATATTTATTATTTTTATGATTATAAAAATTCTCAATTTTTTTTTAATTATTCCAAATTTACACAACATTAGTTAGCAACTTTTTATTTAACCATTCATCTAAACTTTCATATATTTCATAAATCTTTTTATAGGCTATATTAATCTGATGTATGCCTTCGCCGCTGCTTTTTTTTTGTAATTTATTGTACGTTTATTTGGACAGGGAGTCTAGAGGATACCCACATCTTGTGTTTGCCTCTCAGCCCATGGCATCCTCTTGGCACACCTGGGCATTTCCAGATTTGTGATTTTTGTGCCGAATATGTAATAAGTAATAAATATTTATTTCACAATACACAGTACTGCAGTTAAAAAAGTTCAATTTGGAGGAGAACCTAACCTACCCCTAAGTTCATGAGTACAAAGTTGCAGCTTAAACAATGTTCAAATGTGAGGAATATGAAGCAAGGACCTTGAGTGGCAAAAAATATCTTAAAAGTGTTCCGTATATTAGAAACCACAGATGTTCCTTATATTTTTTAATTTATTTTAAAATTATTTGTTAATAAGAATGTTTCATACAAGTCCTACTTAATTATTTTTTATGTGAAATCTGAACAGTGCAATGTGAGAGGAAACTAATCTGTGAGAGCTACAGTACTAGGCAGCGATTTATTTCATTAAGGATTCTTGTCTGTTTCTCACAATTGCTTACTGTATTTTACGGAGATAAAATAAATAAAATTAAATGAAGGAAACACATAGCCATTTATTTCGTCAAAAGCACATGACTTGCTGTCATAATCACAGAACAATGAGCAATTTTATATTGACATTGCTGTTTCAACAATGATAAGCAGTTCACATTCATTGACATTAACATGAATTTTCAGCAAATGATTACAGTATAAGAGCTTATCATTAGCATTTTAAGTCTAATATTTCTACTATCACTGTCAAATTACTGTGTGAATAAACTTAAAAATAGACTGAATTAGTCACCAAAGATGATGTCATCAAAATTTGGCCGAGTGGGTATTAAAAGTTGTTTAGTCAAAAGGTAAAGTCAAGCTAATAGATTGAGCGGAGTTGAAAGTGGTGTCTATTCAATCGTTTAAAATGTAATGAAGTTAGTATGGAAGATACCTTTTATAACAATGTATACATTTTAAATAATTCATAGATTGATTGTAAATGTAGGATTTATTTAAATTTCCATTTACTGTATACAATAACTAAAGAATTTCGAGAGGCATTCTAGGGTGCATAGGCCCATCGCTCGCGGGACTCGCCACATTAATCTCTGACTACGGTGATCGCTGTTGATTTAGAGGTATATTCAGCTTAAATACTGTCACCAAATCATTTTATTGCAATTTTTGTATGAAATATTTACACTATTGGACAAACTTAAATTGCTGAATTGTAGAATAAAATGGTTTTTTTTTACTACAAAATGATGGAAAATGAGTTAGAAGACTCATTGTCTTCTCATTGTGCTAGAGTTTCTTTTAAGTCTTATACAAAGCATCTCTTTCATAAATTCAAAGTACTTAATATCTACGATTTAAATAAACTACAGATTGCTTTATTTATGTATCGTCTGTGTACAAATTCTTTTCCCCCACATTTAAGTAATTTGTTTAATCCAGTTGTCTCGGTTCACCATTACGCCACAAGATTTTCTGTCTACAATTTTTTAACTCCCTGTTCCTCTTTTCTTAGACAAAACTCCATTTAGTACTCAGGCCCAAAATTATATCAAAATATCTTCAGAACCTATTATTAACAAACCATCCCTCAATAGTTTTAAATCTGCTTTTAAAATGTCTCTGATCTCAGTCTATGGTGAGTAAACTTAAATACCTCATTCAATAACAATAATCC